CCCTTTACATTCTTGCAAGTTGCATGCTTTAAATTCTGCTGCTCATATACTCTTTGCATGCTTGCTTGAATTGTTTGAAGATTGTTTGACTTGTGCAAAGTAAAATCTGCCAAAGTCTAAAATTGGGAAAAGATTAAGTTTTTAATTGGTCAAGTAGTCTAATCAACCCCCCCCCCCTCTAGACATACTTCAAGGTCCTACAGCATGACGAGGAGTCTCGAAATGGTCGAAACGTAAAGATCGATATATTGGACGACTATATTCGGACTTTGGAAAGGTTCCGAGTGATTCGGGTATTTTTCGGAGTACCGGAGAGTTACGGGAATTTGCCAGGGAGTATATGGGCCTTATTGGGCCATACGGGAATAGAGGAGAGAGGCCAAAAGGAAGGAGGCTTGCACCCCCCTCTGGTCCGAATTAGACAAGGGATGCAGCCCCCTTTTCCTTCTCCCTCTCCCCCTCTTTCCTTCTCTCCTAATCCAACAAGGAAAGGAGGAGTCCTACTCCTGGTGGGAGTAGGACTCCCCCCTTGGCGCACCCTCCTCCTTGGTCGGTCGCCTCCCCCCTTGCTCCTTTATATACGGAGGCAGGGGCACCCCATAGACACAACAATTGATCTCTTGATCTCTTAGCCGTGTGCGGTGCCCCCCTCCACCATAGTCCTCGATAATATTGTAGCAGTGCTTAGGCGAAGCCCTACGATGGTAGAACATCAAGATCGTCACCACGCCGTCGTGCTGACGGAACTCTTCCCCGACATTCTGCTAGATCGGAGTACGGGGATCGTCATCGAGCTGAACGTGTGCTAGAACTCGGAGGTGCCGTAGTTTCGGTGCTTGATCGGTCGGGCCGTGAAGACGTATGACTACATCTACCGCGTTGTTCTAACACTTCCGCTTTCGGTCTACGAGGGTACGTGGACAACACTCTCCCCTCTTGTTGCTATGCATCACCACGATCTTGCGTGTGCGTAGGAAATTTTTGAAATTACTCCGTTCCCAACAGATGGTTTAGGGATTATAAATTTAGAAATGATGAATATAGCTCTGCTTGCCAAATGGTTTCGGAAAATGGAGACTGAAGAGGGATTATGGCAAGATGTGATAAAAAGAAAATATGAGGGAAATAAATGCCTGTCCAGGAGTACTAAAAAACCTGGAGATTCTCTGTTTTGGTCTAGTCTGCTGAAGATCAAAGAAACCTTCTATAAATTTGTCAAGAAGGAATTGGGAAATGGGGAGAACACCAGGTTTTGGGAAGATATATGGGCTGATGACAAAAGCCTGAAAGATGCCTGCCCTAGGTTATATGATTTATGTTTTGATCATAATATAATAGTTTCTAAGGCCATCCAAAAAGGGTGGAGAGATTTTAGATACAGAAGGACCCTGCATGGGGAGACTTTAGAGATTTGGAACAATTTAAAAAGAAGATGTGAGGAAATTGAAATGAAAGGGGGGCAAGGATAAAATTATATGGTCTCTTAATGCCAATGGCAAATTTACTGTTAAATCACTGTATAGGAAACTGGTAGTTGATGGGCTCAGATCCCACAGAAATTCTTGTGGAAAATCAAAATCCCAGTAAAAATTAAGGTTTTTCTTTGGCTTAGCATTAGAAAAAGCATACTTATGAGAGATGCGTTGTTGAAAAGAGGATGCAAAGGGAAAAACTGTGTATTTTGTGGAAAAGATGAAATAGCTGATCACCTGTTTTTTACCTGCTCAGCTGCCTCCTTGATTTGGAGCTTAATCAAATGTGCTTTTGGTTTGAGGCAAACTCCATTGTCAATGCAAGAGTGCCTTGGATCTTGGTTAGATTCTTTTGGGAAAGAGGATAGAAAACTTGTGCTGGTTGGGATTTCTTCTATTTGTTGGGCTTTATGGAAATCTAGAGATGGAGTTATTTTTCAGAATAAAAGAATCTCTGATCCCATGTCTATAATTAAAACAATGACACATTGGATGGTGGATTGGTCTATTTTGAAGATAAAGGAGCAACAAAAAAAGGTGCTGGAGTTGGGGGCAAGATTGCTAGAATGGGTAGCAAGTGAAGTCTACGCGCCCTCTCAAGGGTGGAGAATAAACATGCCGAGGCTGGAGGGAAAGTATCTGGTGATACCATGTCTTAGGTGCTCCCATGATACGAGCTTATGGTCCATTGGATCTCAGATCCAATGACTCCTAGGAGGTTCTGAAGACTACCGTACTTGTTCATAATTTTTAGACTTCAAAATGTCTTTTTTGCAAAATGTTCAAAGCCCCTCGGGAGCCGTTGGATCTCAGATCCAGCGGCTCCTAGGAGCTCGTATCATGGGAGCATGCAAGCCTCTGTAGCACCAGATACTTTCCCCGAAGCTGGAATGAAGAAGATCTCTTCCCTGGAGGACGAAGACTGCGTTGCTTCTTGTTTCTTTGTTTTCTTTTGCCCTCTCTTTTGCTTAGTTTGGTGCCTTAATGCCTTTAGAATTCCTGGATGACTGTCATAACTTGGTTTGTGTGGATGTTAGCTCTAGAGAACTTGTTTTGGCCAGGGGTGATTCAGCTTGGCTGATGGCACACCCTCCCCGCCTATCTTTTGGTTTATGTTCAGTCGGTGTCATGTAGCTCTTGAACGCGTTAGTTTTCGTTAATGAAAATCGGAGGGGTGCGAGCCCTTCTTTTATTCAAAAAAAAAGACTGGTCATAGAGAACCGCCACACACTGTCGGCCCATTCTATCAAAGAAATGATTGTTTTTTATTGTGGCACGTCGTGATATGACATGTGCGTTCGCTGGTATTCTGTAATTTTGTCATTGTAACACTATGAAAGATTTGAAATGATGTCATCGATTTCGTCTCCTTTTCTGTGCCTTAGCACTTTTATGGTTTTACCTGTGCACCTAATTGCTTGCTTATTGCATGCAATTGATTGCACTACTCTTTGCATGCATTTTATTAGCATCACACCATGATTCACAACAAATAGATGCGTCTTTTATTTCTTCGTGTGGAAGAAAAGAAAGGTGAACATGTGGCTAGGGTTTCATTTGCACCCCTTGTTAGAGATACGACAGGCAAATCATTCGATGAACAGTGGCGAAGCCATGCATGAGTTGTAAAGTCATTTGACTACACAACATTTTGGTGGAAAAAAGGAATTCAACCAGTAGAAATAATGTATTAGAATTTATAAATACATATATGTGACTACACAACTTGGAATTGACTACACTTGGGAGAATTCATGACACCGCCACTGACGACGAAGAACGAAATCAACACAGGGAGACACAAGATTTTAACGTCGAAAACCTATCCAACATGAAGGAGAAAAAATCACGTGCGCCAGCTAGCTAATTTCACTATATCAGGAGAGGTTACAAATGCCAGGGGTTTACAACTGATCAACTTATCCCGTGTGGCTACTTATAATGGATATATATAGTAGAGGTGACCGAGGTTAATACTGATCTGCTCCACTCCGGCCCAAGCCTCCCGGCGACCAGCCGGAGCTGGGAGGCTCGGGTCGGCACTATGCTCCTTTTGTCGGAAGTTAGCCTTTATCTTGGTATATGAATTTGGATCATAAAAAACAAATTTCACTTTGAGGAAATTTCATCTTGTTGCATAAAATGAGAAACTTCTCCCTAACAACAAAGAAAACACTATCGGCGCCAAACAGCCGCTAGGGCTAATGAGTTGTTCCAACTAAGCCTGAGCAAAAAGCTCAAACTTAGCAACAGGTACTGGCTTTGTCCACATATCAGCAGGAATATCATGAATACTGACCTTTGCATACCATCATCTTACCTTAATCAACAATGTCTTGAACATAATGGTATTTGACATCAATGTGCGGTTTTCTCTCATGAAACATCTGATCCTTACTAAAGCTATATGACACTCTGATTGTCACAAAATAGATCAATGCAAGAATTATCTCCACAAAGCTCAGCATACGAACCTTTTAGCGAAACTGATTCTTTACATGCTTCTGTAATAGCTATGTATTCTGCTTCAATGGTAGATTGAGCAACTACTGATTGCAATGTTGCCCTTGAACTCACGATACAACCACCAACAGTGAACACATAACCTGTAAAGGACCTCTTCTTGTCCAAATCGCTGAAAGCAAAATCTGAATCCACATAGCCCGCTTGTCCCTCAACAGTCCTGCCAAATTTCAAACAAGCATTGGAAGTGTCATGAAGGTATATGAAAATCCACTCAACAACCTTTCAATGTTCTTTACCAGAGTTAGCCGCCCAAGCCTCCCCATGATGGGCCGGAGCTCTACTTCGCTCGTCAGAAGTTAACCTTTGTCTTTATATATGAATTTGGATCATAACATAACACCCATATATAGGCGCCGCCGACGGTCCGCCTTGTCTCCGGTGGCCTTAGGCCCATGGAACGCGAGGGGGAGTGGGGAGGGTCCTGCTTCATTTTTAGCTTTTCTTGAGTTCGATTAGGGCTTATGTCCCGCTTACGAAGGCGTGGAAGCGGCTTCCTGAAGATGAAATAAGATTCTCCCCGCCTAACCCTCTCGTCCCGGCAGTGCATCTAGTGTCATCAAAGGGCGTGTGGAGGTGTGTCGCCGGCGCACCTCACATGATCTGGTCGGTGTTGGTCTTCGGAAAATCCCCTTTATCCAGGATTTGTTCACGGGTCTACAGGTTGAATTCTTCTGATCTATACTTCTCTTCATTGGCGCCGGTTGTTATTCCAATGTGTTAGTCACGTGGGACTTTAGCATGATGACTTCCCGACTGTCCACTACAACAAGTTTTGCTCAACTCATCGAAAGAGGGGCAATGACAATGACATGGATTCGGCTCGCTCCAGTGCTCGTAGTCGTTGTTAGGTGATGGATGCATTTTTGTTACTGCTGTTTTTATAGTCTCATGACAAATGATTAGATCGGAAGTTTTCAAAAGAAAAAAATCAGACAATCGCGCGTGTGAGCTAGTGTGCGTACGTGCATGTCTTACTCTTTCCAAACAATCAAGCATAATCTGTCATCTGCCCGCTGTAAGCTGGGATGCAGAAACTAATGAAGAATCAATTGCCGTCATGAATGTCGCGACGGGCATCTTTGCTGGAAAGCTTGGTAGAGGCGCCTCAAATCGTAGCACGTTGACCGCTTGCTTGATGGACGGCCTCAGGGTCCTATCAGGGTGCGCGCACCAGAGCCCGACGACCATCACACACTCCATCTCCCGTTCGTCAAACTCCAGGTTGAGCTGCGCATCAGCCGCTTCAAGGGTCCTTCTACTTTCCCATGAATCCCAAACCCATTGCACCAGATGAATGATGTCCTCTTGCCCCCGAGCAACCGCGGGCCGCTTGCCGCAGGCGATCTCGAGCATGACGACGCCAAAGCTGTAGACATCAGACTCGACGCTGGTCCTTCCGGTGACCACACACTCAGGATCCATGTAGCCCATAGTTCCTGCAAGACCTGTTGTGTATGGTCCTCGGCCGTGGTCGACAAGCCGGGCAAGCCCAAAATCACCAAGTTTGGCACAGAAGGATGCATCTAACATGATGTTGCTTGGCTTGATGTCACGATGCAGAACACATTGCTCCCAATCTTGATGCAGGTACAGAAGTGCCGACCCAAGCCCCAACACAATCTCATATCTAAAAGCAGCATCAAACAAAATAACCTAAAACATATTAGTCCAGAGTCCGGAGGGACAAGCTAGAGGCATAGTCAATAACATGCGCACCTGAATGGCCACAATAATGTGGCGTTTGAACAATAAAGGTGAGTATCTAGGCTGCCGTGGGGCATAAGATCGTACACAAGCAAGAGCTCGCCGCCACCATGGCACCAACCAATAAGCTGTACGATGTTTCGATGCCTCAAACGACTTATGATCTTCACCTCTGACATGTACTCCTTCCTCCCCTGCTTGGAGGTCTTGGACACTTTTTTTATAGCCACCTCTACTTTAAGCTCCTTCAAAAATCCTTTGTACACGGAACCAAAACCACCTTCACCCAGCTTCATCTGGTCGGAGAAGTTGCTGGTGGCGACGGCAAGATCGCTATAGCGAAACCACCTGGGCCCTGTCCCTTTCTCGAATTCCTCTTTCAATGGATCATCGTCAAAATTATCTACTTGTGTCGCCATGCGATTTCGCCTCCGGCGGAGCAAAAGGAAAAAAACCAAGAGACTCGAGGAGATGACGAAGACGACACCGGCAGACACGCCGGCCACCAGCGGCGTCCTGCTGCTAGTACGCTCGGTGGCAAGTGGCGGAGCTTCTCAATGGAAAAACACACACACACACACTACCATCAATTACTGGGAGAATGTCACGTGATGTACGTTTTATCTTCGGCAATTGGTGTGAGAGAGCAGAGAACCAGTAAAAAAATTTCGGAAAAGGAAGTAATAGCACTAAGTTACTAACCTCCTGCCCCTGGTGGGAGATTGGACGGCGGTGGCTGTGCACCTGGTGGGAGATTGGGCGGTGGAATAGTGGCACGGAGAAACTCGCCGTCGCCGATGGCGTATATGGCGTAGCAGCTGTAGCCCTTGATGCTACCACCGGTGTTGTTAGGGAAAACACTCGAGAGGTTTGCCACGAATTTGGTAAGGCACCTGCTGCACTCGCTCGCGTTCAGATTCCTCGTGCACTGCACCAGACCGTGCATGGTCGTCGGCGACTGCGAGCTGGCCGCGTACGGCACGCTCCCGTTCGCGAGCCGCAGCGGCGAACGTGCCGCCTCCGCCGCTAACCGGGTGAGCAGATCCCACCTCGTGTCGAAAACATGTTTTCCACCTCGTGTTGTTCATGCTGGCCGGATAGTCCACCTTGTTGTAGTCCCACGAGTAGATGGCGACGGTGAGGTCCGCGACGGAGACGAAGGACTCGTTGGAGTAGCGGAGAAGGCACGGGCCGTAGGCGGCCTTCATCTGCCGGCTGAATGGGCACACGTACTCTGTCTCGGGGGCTGCGGCGTAGAGGCAGTCGTGGCACTGGGTCCAGTTGCCGTCCGCATAGCACGAGATGAGGCCGAACACCTCGTCCGGCGATTCGCCGGCCGTGCCGTTGTAGTAGCCACGGTTGTCGATGCCACGCATCTGGAGGTCACTCAAGAGGGCAAGAAGATTCCGCCGGTACTGGCTATTCCATGTGTAGTTACCCGTGGTCGAGCAGTTAGGATTAAATGGCCAGTGTGTCTGTCCCTCTGCTACAGCGACGCCGACGCCGGAGGAGGACATGACAACGGCGAGGAGAAGCAGCAGAAGGCGCCGTAGAGCAGCTGCCATCGATCGAGGTGAGCTAGCTAGGCGTACAGTCAATTGAGGTGCGCAACGCGTAGGTGACTAGGTATATGTAATCACATCGTCCTTCCTGCGACAAATAATGGCGAAGATATAAACAATTTCAGTTGAACACTGATTCAAACGATGCGACCAGAGACGGGATACGAAGCCTACATACGTGTGAAGACATGAGGATAGTCCATGGATCCTGCAGGAGCATTTCCTTGTCACAGACAAGTGACAACACCACAAATTCATTCAGAACCTAGGTTTGGCCGAACGTTACAACAAACGTGTGGACTCTGGAGCCTAGACTCTAACTGGTCACACAGAACTGCCGGCCCCGGCCGGCCCGTTCTATCAGAGAAATGATTGTTTATTATTATTATTGTCTATATGATTTTTGTATTTGGCTAACAACATGTTTTTGCGTCCGATATGAACGAATCAGTTTGAACAGTAAAGGTGAGTATCTAGGCTGCCATGGGGCATAAGATCGTACACAAGCAAGAGCTCGCCGCCACCATGGCACCAACCAATAAGCTGTACGATGTTTCGATGCCTCAGCCGACTTATGATCTTCACCTCTAACATGTACTCCTTCCTCCCCTGCTTGGAGGTCTTGGACACCCTTTTTATAGCCACCTCTACTTTAAGCTCCTTCAAGAATCCTATCTACACGGGGCGCCCCTCGCCCCTCGCCCCTCGCGTCGCCCCCGCGGGCGACCCGAGGGGGAAAACCCTAGCCGCCGCCCCTCGAGTCTCATCCTTCCCTCCCCCTCCTCGCCGTCATCCATAGCGCCGCCGGACGAATCCTGGCCGGCTGGACGGCGGCGGGGCTTCTCCCCATCCTCTCTGTCCTGGCTGGCGCGGGACAACGGGATCCAGAGGAACGCCGGAACGTGGGGTCCGGCGGCGCGGCGGACGGGTCTCCCATCGGCGTCGTGCGCGGCGTGGCGGTTGCGACCTGTGGGTCGTGAGGTGGTGGCTGCGTTGGCCTGACCGGTGGTCGCGGGTGCCGCCGGATTCAAGTCGGATCCATCTGGTTCCTTTCTTCGGACTCCGTCGGCCGCCGCGGGGTGGTGATGATCGTCGCTGGCCACGTCGGCGTCTGGAGATCTACAAGGAGTTCTTCTCGATCCTCCTTTCTGGTGGGTTGAGACCCATGGCTCTTTCATCTTCGCGGGTTTCGGATCGTGGCTTGCCGGATCCGGAGTACACGGTGGTTTGGTGGCATAGGATGGGGACCGGAGGAAACTTTGGTCGGTGTGTTCAGCCTGGCATCGGCGACGTCACTTGACGCCATTACCCTTCCTGGAGGTGAAGCCGAGCCCCCCCCCCCCTATCCACCCCCGAACCCCTCCCGGACGAAAGTCCAAAATTCAGTCTGGATTGGGCGGCGGCGGCGTCCTGCACGTCGTATCCTCCATGGAGGCGCCGTCTTGGGAGGAACTGCTGTTCGGGGGAGAGATGTTGTGGATGGTGGGCTCCGATTAGCTCCAGCAGTGGCGATGGTGTGGAGGTTGCCAGGTGGTGCGGCGTTGTATCTACCGCGTCATTGACGACGAGTGGTGGCGGCATGGTGCAACTGCATATCGACGACGGATGCGGCTGGATGGACGAGCGCAGGGTGGCCGAGCTGTCTGGCGCCATGGTGGCGTCGACGGCAGGCCTGGCAAGGTCTGTGCGTCAGTACCTGCTCTGGAGATGGATCGGTGGAAGAAGGCGGCGGCAGCCTCGGTGAGTGTGCCTGACCGGCGTGTGACCCAGTCCCGGTATGTGGCTAGGATGGGGCATCCGGCATTACATGTTAGGATTTGGTGCGATGTCTGTTTGGTATTAGGCTCGGACATTCGGCACCACTGCATCAAGGGGATAGGAGTAGCGACAGATGTTGCCTAGATGGTGGCTTCAGGCTTACTGATGTACTACTTTGTAAGGTCTTTTATGCTTAATAATTAATAAAGTGGCCGTATGCATCGTCCAGGTGCAGAGGCCGGGGATGCTTCCTCCTTTTAAAAAAAATGAACGAATCAGATTCGTTTTGAACCGTGCGCCCCACGTCGCTCAACCACGTCGAATAGCAGTTCCTGCAGCGCGACGCTTTGTTCTATCTCTATGATGCGTGGGTCCAAAGGTGTCCAAAGCTGTGTCGTCGAATCGCCTTGCCCCCATCCCCCCGCCCCGCGCGCTTTCACCATCTCCCCCACTACTCCACTCATTCATTCATTCCAAGATGTGGATGTTCGAATTCGTTATCTGCGCCATGCTCGTCAGACTGGCCACAATGAAGAGTAACATACACATATCCCTAGATTATGTTATTACCTCAATAGTGGGTAGTAACATAAGTGTGGTAACATGCAAAACTTCATTTATTAGGTTATAGACTCATATTGCATTAGGACATGTGATGTTACAGTAACTAGCTAAGTTACTAGTACAACATATCTCCTCATTAACTTATTGCCACATAAGCAATTTGCTGAGTTGTACTCGATGTTACTATCGAAGTTACTCCCACTGTGGCTAGTCTCATTCTCCTCTCCTTGGGTCTTCAACAAATCCACCGCATGACAGTTTTTGGAAATCGGTTTTGATTTCAATCACGGCGGATGGCGGTGAGCTTGCATTCCGTCCTCCCTCCCTCACACCCCCGCGCTCTCTGTGTTTTGCATTCGTCGGTGGTAGTTTTTCCCATATTCGCGGCCATTAGTTTTTGTATAGCGGCGGTTTGAATTGACAGTAGCGGTGTTTGCGTACGCGGCGGTCGGCAGTGAGCTGCATTCCCACCCACTGTGATATATGTTTGCGCCGCTAACACCTAGTGGTGGGTGAGTTGGTATTTCTCCTCCCCTGCTCTATGTTTCGCGGAATACGGGGATTCACTCGTATTATGATTTTTAGGAGGTGGCGGTTGATGGGGTCACCTACTCCGGGTAGGGTCATTGACCTAACATATGTGGAGTGCATAGCTCTAGATGAAGGGACGGCTACCGGCACCTCAACGAGCGATCAACAGATGTCGAGTGCATTTTGGAAGCTGAATGTCGTACCCAAGGTGAGAGTGTTTTGGTGGAGGGTTTTGCGTGGCAATACTCCCAGATGAACAAAGACTACGGGCACGGCATATTAGTGATTTGAGCAGATGCAAAATCTGCCACGTGATGGAGGAAGACCTCAAGCATGCCTTAATTCACGGTGCTCATGCTAATCGTTTCTGGAACGAGGCTTTGCGTTGGTTTGACCTCCGGCTACCTCAACTTCACCCAGTTTCATGGGCCAAGGAAATTATGTGTGATCCTCGCTTCTCGTACAAGGACAGGCCACTGATCATCACCATCATGTGGTCTATTTGGCACTCTTGTAACAAGTTAAAGCACGAGAAGGAGGGGTCGGATCCAACAACTTGTATGCGTGTGACTAGGGAGGCATTTGCACTACTTGAGTTACCACGGAAAAAACCATGCCGGGTCATGGCTGGAGACCACCTGAAGCGGGGTTAGTCAAGATCAATACAGATGGTGCAATATCTATTGACACAACTACTGCTGGTGTAGGTGGAGTTGCAAGGTCTAATAATAAGTTGCTGGGTGCATGGTGCAAACCATACACTAGTATTATGGATCCTCTTATCGCCGAGGCAATGGCGCTGCGTGATGGTGTGCTTTTCGCCAAACTTCGAGGTTACACACATGCGATAATGAAGGTGGACTGCCTGGAGATGGTTAATCTCTGGAATAATCGCCACAACTCTCGTTTGATTGTGGCTCCTATCTTAGTTGAAATTGGAGAGCTTGTTAGTTATTTTTCTCTTTTTGTAATCCAACATGTAATAAGGTCAGCAAACGTTCCAG